TATCATCATCAAGTAATATCTTCTCACCTCAGAGGTGATTAAACTCGTGTGGTAACAAACACCCCAAATTTGGCTGAGAAGTCAGAGTAATTCTATTTATTAGTTATTACCTTTTTAAGCTATTTTTTGTTATAGACCATATTTTTCTGATAGTTAGGATTCCACTGAGAATCTGCCAAGGTCTTTTTGCTGTGGGTACTCATATTGTTGATATCCACAATATTATTTGAAGATTGGGCAGGTGATGGGCCAATCATGGTAGCAGATTTGGGGGCACTCGTACCTCCAACATTCTTTTTCTTAAGTTGAGAAGGAGATTGTCTGACAGTGTGCATACTGCAACAAGTTGGACACCATGAGGCTGTGTGCTGGAAAAAGAAAGCTGACACTGAGAATCAGAAGCAGGGAAAAGAGATGTCAGCATAGGGATAGGCACTCCTATTGCCAACGAATCTCATGTGCCTGACTCATTTACTTCAAATATATCATTATTTCTTGTTGATAATACTACTGGTGATGAATATGAGGGGGGTTATGATGGTGTTGGTTACTACGTATTAGGAGTACCTGATGAAGTGGAGGTCACTGATCTTTTGAATGCTGGAGGAGTAGATGAAACCACCATACCTGAGGGTACATACCTCATCCAAATTTTAAGGTGTCCTGCAGTTATTGATACCGCCAGTGACACGTATCAGCTCCTATCTAGCTTAATTCTCCCTCTTAAGCGAGGTCACAACATGAAGTCCATCCTAGAGCGTTACCCTAAGATGGCTCGCAAAATAACCTTCACCTTCCATCTCAAGGAGGTCCTAGATCTGTCTCTTAACTTTGGATGAACACTAACTAAGGTGGAAGTGGTTATTCAAAAAGTCTGAGTGATGGCTATCCTAGATACTGGCTCCCAGTGAAAGTAATCTCCTCAAAGTTGATAAAAAGATCAAGTTGGCACCTAACTTGGATTTCAATCAAAAGTTTGGAACCTCAGTCCATAACATCACTGCGCCATTGGGGCATAATCTTCCCTTCCATTCGAATTGGAAATCTTATTTTATTGGCCCCACAGTGGCCTTGGACAAATACAGCTATGATATGCTAATAGGTACATAATGGATGATCTAATATGAGGAGATCATCAACATGAAGTAAGGTTTCCTCCCATTACTCAATTATGAAGTCCCTTTAGTTTTATACAATAAAGATCTCAGCAAAAACAAATACTCTTGTCTGGTTGAGTACCCATTTTCCGCTTTACCTTTAGATTATACCATTGCAGGATGAGATATAATACAAATGCCTGATTCAGTAGATGCTATGGACGGTGTTCCGTTTTATGCTGCAGATGAGGAGTGCTTAAGCCAGGTGAACAACGAGTGGTTGACACAAAGATCACCCTCCAAATTCCATACCACTGCTTGTTGCACCTCATAAGTGTTGCAGACGTTAGTTTCTTGGATCTTTAGGTATTTCCTGGAGTTCTAGACCCAGCCTACAAGAAGCCTAATACTCTTCTGTTGGGGAATCTCACCTGCAATGGCATAGTTGTAAGAAACACCAGGAGATTGGCAGAGGCTTCTTAACCCTGGTAGATGACATTAAACAAATTCACTTCATTGGCTCTACGTTGAATATGGGCCTTCCAACGGATAACCTGGTATGTACCTTACCCCATGTCCATATCTCAGATGAGCTGACCTCAGATGAGCATGATAAAGTATATACCCTATTAGAAGAATTTAGCGTCATGTTCTTCAAATCAGATAATGACTATGGCCATATTAAGGGATGGTGCCAATCCATTGATGTGGGTGATGCCCATCCCATTCGGTCAAAACCTTACCACAAATCAAAGGTGAAGAACAGCAAATGAGGACGAAACTCAGGCAGTTACTAGACGCAGGGTTACTTGTTCCTTCGCAAATCCTTTGGTCTTCCCCTCCTCTCTCTTGCTTATCAAAAAGAAAAATGGAAGTCATTGGAAGGTCATGGACTATCACAAGTTAAATAACCTCATGAAAAAGGATTGTTACCCTATCCCCCACATTGACGAAGCCCTGGCCCAACTCTCTGGCTCTAACTTCTTCTTCACCATGGAATTGTCTAGTGACTATTGCAAATTTAATCTTTCTCCACAAGGCCAGGAGAAATGTGCTCGTATTTTACAGTGAGGTTCTCTTCTAACCCACCCGATTACCTCAAGGGTTGTGCAACGCACCTGCAACTTTCCAGCGCGTGATGTATCACATCTTGCAGGACCTGAAGTTAAGTTGTGGCATCGTCTATCTTGATGGCATCATGGTGTTCTCAAAATCCTTTAACGAACATCTTGATTCTGAAGGAGTTGTTTCAATACTTACGTGCATCCAATATCAATACAAACCCTAAAAGTGTACCTTCTTCCAAAGAAAATTAAAAATCCATGGATGCTCCATTTTTCTAGAAGGATTCCAACCCATACATGATAAAGTCAGACAACCCATACATGATAAAAAGTCAGACAATTGTCAGACCCCCAAAAATGCCTTCCCCTAAAAATTAACGTGATATACAATATTTCTAGGGATGATGGGGTATTATAATCAGTTCATCCCTAAGTTACCCAGCTCAGCGAGCCCCTTGTCCGCCTACTGATTAAGAACATCCCTTTCTATTGGGGCGCTGAACAGAAAGTCGCTTTGATAAGCAACTGCTACAAAAACGTCATATCTTGAGGCATCCTGACTATGAGAAACCATTTATTTTGTTTACCAACGCCTCAGACTATGTGGTAAGGCCATCTTAGCACAACTGGATGAAAACAGTGTTGATCATCCAGTATCCTATTTTAGCAATATGCTGTCAAAGGCGGAATGCGACTACAGCGTACAGAGCAGGAGGTGGTTTGCCTTTCTGTTAGCTGTAAAGCAATACCGCCCTTTCCTATATGGGACCACCTTCACTCAGGTCGCAGACCACGCTTTTCTGAAATGGTTAAAGAATTTGAAGGATCCTACCGTCTGGTTGGCTCACTGGGCTCTAAAGTTCCAGCATTATGTCATGAAGATTGAACACTATGCTGGAATTCATCACATGAATGTTGATGAGTTAACTCAGCTGCCAGTCCTTCACTTGGATAATAGCGAGGAAATGAGGCTATATGACCTCTTAATGACCCCAATGACTGGGAGGATGAGGATGATCTCATACAGAAAATGTTAGTCTGGTACTCTTGCAACACCAAAGTGGATAGTGGAAAATTGTACAAGAAAGTAGGGGCAAAGTGACTGCCTTACCTTCGGCCCTCAGAACGTGTACCTATTATTTTAGAAGCTTACCCCACCCTAAATCATGGGGGAGCAAAGAAAACCTATGAGTGGATCAAGGATCGTTATTATCAGTGTCAAATTCTGAGGATTGCTCGCTTGGAGATTGTTATCCTGCACATCTATTCAGGCCAAAGTTCCGATGGTTGATCCTTGATGGTGCCTGTAGTTTATGGTATTTGGACCATTCAAAAACTCACTAGGCCTATTAAATTCGCCTTGACTCTTCCAGCCAATTTTGGGCATAATTTTTACTTTATATTTTAGAACTTCTTCTGAGGCAGGATTTAGTATAAACTGGGGATTTGGTCCTTCCAGTTTGTTGACAGTTTTCTAAGGTTAGTATTTGAGATAAAAACCAGGAAAAGGAAAAATAAATATAACTTTTATATAAGCTATTAATTGGATAATGTTCATTAGGCCAGGCACCGGTATTTATATCTCTAGGGCATCTCCTGGCCATATTCCAGCACAAAATTTCAACAGCTATTTTACCACCTCATTTTGCCCTATAACTGAAACCTTTTCTTAGGTTCATTGGTATCAATATACTCTCAAAATAAGGAGGACTTTAGGTATAAAAAATTGCGATAAAAGCATGCAAAATTGTCCTAAGATCTTCTAGATTTGAGTTTTATCATAATGCTGACAAAATACACCTTCTGTGAATTTTGGCCTCTTTGAAGTAAATGATGCACCCCTAATTGGGACGTTGGCAGGTTTTTCTCTCAATAGCACTAGGTAACCCCTTTCAGGCAGTCCATGTAAGTGCTATCATGCTGATTATGCGGATTGACATAAGAATTTCGCCCTAGGGCGGGATATTGATTCCAAATTTTTTTATTTCTCTGATAATCCATGCTATTTTTAGATGTTAGCTTTGGGTCAGTCCCTGAATGATTTTGTATACAATTAAGTTAATTGTGTTCCCAATAATTGGGACCAATTGCTGAGATTTTATTATAGGAAATTAGCCATAATATGTGAGCATATTTGGGCTGAGCACTCTGCTTAAATACTTGATTGAATTATTATTGAGATATTTGGCCCAAACTGCATTATTGCAATAGGCTTTGGGGTGAGAATATAGGTGTTAGCTCAATCATTGAAAGGGCAATCAGCCCAATCTGATAGTTGTTGAAAGTTTATTTTTGAGTCAACCACCAGAATCTGACATTTCCCCCTCTTGACTCTAACATAAGCCCTAAGATTCCTGATTAGCCTATGTTGGTCTTTTCTCATCGGCCCAAGCACCCAATGAGAATGGAGTTGGTTTTTCTATTTGGTAACTTCAGCCAGAACAGCTGATGAATCTGAAGTATGATGGCCCAATTGCCCATCAAGTCTGAAGTTGGATCTCCTCCCCAACCTCAAGTGTGAACTAAGATATTAACTTTAATCAAACTATTATATAAGTAACTTTTGTTTTTTTGTTTATTTTTGTTTTTTTTGTGTTTTTATGACTTTTCTTTTATTTTATTTTATTTATTTGAGGCAAGCTGACCGGGGGACGGACTTTACCAAAATAGAGAAAGAAAGTATTGACATGAAACCTGAGCAGGGTCAACTCTGTCATAGAAAGTTTTTTCACCTCCGGATTGGGACTCAGATTTTTCTGGTTACGTCATGGGTAAGGTTTTCGTGTTATTATACCTACTAACCACCAATAGTTTCCTTTGGCTGGCACCCTGATCAATATGCGAAGGGCGGGAATTGAACCCGCAACCTACAGGTTGGTAGCTGTATGCCCTACCGACTTGCCTTCCACCCCCGACTTTTTTTTTCTTTTCTTTTCTTTTTATTAACTTTTTCTCTGCTTAATCAGCCCACTTATTAAACCTTCTATGGAATAATGCATGGACTCAGTTTTATATATGTCCAGTCCTAATATCCTTGCTTGTGTATATAAACTTAGACGTTTTCTCAATCACTTTGAATGGCCTGACCCAGATGCAATCTAACTTTTGCATTTGGCCTGATCTGTGGGTGTTGCAAAACATAACTTCGTCATTAACTTCAAATATAGCCAGTGTATAGTGATTCTCTAAGTCATTTTGAGGTTGGGTCTTTTTCTCAGCAAAACTGTTGTCAAAGGCTTGAGCTTGTAGTTTAATTAAGGCATCCACAAGCTTCTCAACATACTGAGGGTAAGTGTTTTTGCAAGGATCCCCTAGGGCTAAATATAGCAGCATTGGTAGGGCCAGTTGTCTACCATATAATACTTGAAATGGAGACATCCTGGTTGATGAATCGTAGGATATATTAAAATTGAAGACTGCCAAACTTAAATATGTACTCCATTTGGATGGTTTAGCTGAGGGTGATTTCCGGATAATGTTCACCAATGTCCCATTTGCACGCTCAACTGTCCCATTAGTTTTGGGTGTGATAGGTAGCAGAAAGCACACCTCATACTCCCATTAGTTGGTTGAGCTTCGCAAGGGCATAGGCTGTAAAGTTGGTTCCTTTATTGGTCAGAATAACCTGAGGGCATCCATGTTTATGCATGATGTTTTCAAGTACAAACTTGGTGTTGGTTGCCACTCCAGCTTCCTGAATGGCCTTGGCCTTGACCCATTTGGTCAAGTGGTTGATGGCTATGATTATGTACTTGGCCTTCATATTGCTTGTTAGAAGTCAGCCAAGAATGTCTATAGATATAGTGTTCCAGGCAAAGTTGGGCCAAACAAGCTGGTAAGATGTGTTTTTTCAGAATTGGTTTTTGCCTTGGCACTCTGCACAGCATTCTAGCGTCTCTTGGGTGTCTAAATGCATTGACTCCCAGTAGTAGAATTGCTTCAGATTCTCTTTCATCTTCTTAAAACCTCCATGCCCTATGGCCTTATGCGCTGCCATTATTAGGTCTGTTTGGGCCGATGGTCTTGGAAAGATAAACTTTTCGTCCTCAATGATCTTATAAAGCATCCCGTTTTTGATGGTTCTATTTTTTGTAGATCTGATAATATCTTTTGTATGTATTCAGGCTCATCCTGATACTCTCCGCTGATCATTTTTATAAACAACTCATCTGCAGCCTAACTAAGTGTTGCAATGGTAGGTAGTCAGGATAGACAGTCAGTGTTTTGGTGTTTTGCGCCAGCGCAATGCTCGATGGTGTAGTCATAGGCTTGAAGCTTTAAGCCCAGCGGGCTAATCAGCCCTCAGGTTCTCTTAAGTTATTCAACCATCTTAGGTAATCATGATCAGTAACAACTTTGAAATGAGTACCATGAAGTTAGACCCAGAATTGCTTGCAAGTATATATGACAGCTAAGCAATCTTGTTCCGTCACTGTGTAGTTCCTTTCCTGAACGTTTAAGGTCCGACTAGTGAAGGCAACTGGATGTTCTTTACCATCTTCTCCAACTTAGATACCACAACCCCCACTGCTGTTCAGGATGCATCAGTTTAGACAATAAATTCATGATTAAAGTCCAGGTATCAGAGAACAGGCGCGTATAATAGGGCCGATTTGAGTTGGTTAAATGCATCCTGACAAGCTGGAGTCCAGAGAAATGGGAACTTATCATCAAGAAGATAGAAAAGCAGCTCTTCAAGTTATGCAAAGTTGGTGATAAAACATAGATGGTATCTGATCATGCCTAGGAATACTTGAATATTGTGCTTGGATTTGGGCCATTTCGTTTTGGATATGGCATAAAACTTATAGGGTTGTGGCTGAAGACCCACACTATCAATCACAAATCTGAGGTATTCCAGTTGGTCTTTGAAAAACTGACATTATATGGGCTTAATCTTTAAGCTTGCGCCAGATATCCTAATGAAAACCTCCTCTAAGTGTTCCAGGTGATCGTCAAAAGTGCGGCTGAAAACGTTGATATTGTCAAGGTACACTAGTACACATGAAAATTAAAAATCTTCCAGGATTGTGTCCATTGCCCATTGGAATGTGGCCGGGGCGTTGCAGAGCCCTTGAGGCATTCTCATCAGCTAAAATAGGCCCTCTTGGGTTATGATTGTACATTTCTTGCGCTCCTCTTTGGGAAGATCTATTTGCCAATATCCACTGATAAGATCCATTTTCAAGAAGAACTTCTAATCCCCTAGCCTATCCAAGGCATTGTCAATTTGGGGCAGTGGGTACGAGTCCTTCTTTGTGATGTTGTTTACTTATAATAGTCAATGACTACTCAGTTGCTTCCATCCTTCTTCTTCACTATTAAAATTGTTGTGGCTTATGGACTTTTTGAAGGGACTAGAATGCCACGATTGAGGAGTTCCTTGTTCTCCTTGGATACTGCTTCTTCAGATAATTTTAAGCATCTAATTGGGCGAAATCAAATAGGTTTATGATCTCCAGTATCAATTTTTGGGTGACACTATTAGCACAACCTAAGTTAAAATCATCTTGTGCAAATGTTTCCTGATATTTAGAGAATAACTCCTGAGCTTGGCCTTTTTTGGAGTTAGTCAAATTGCTTAAATCAGCCATAGGGAAAACATTATTTATGCTGAGTTGATCCTTATTTGGGAGCCCTAATTCAACAAAAGTTCCAAACTCATGGAATGAGTGAATTTACGTGGTAGGGAACAGATGCAGAAAAGTGATCGTTTGATGTCACCTAATGGAGATGGGCCAATTTTGCAGGTTTGCGCATAAGATATGTATTTCTCCATGGCCCAGAATGATAAAACCAGGGCTATGTATGGTCAAAATTGAGATTTAGACCATGGTTGATATACTTCACCATAAAGTCCTTCCGGTATATTAATTGTTAGTCCCATTGGGACGATTACTTGATCTCTGGATGGTATTGTGATGGTCTGATTTGATCAAAGTGGAATGCCATTTAACTCATCAATCTGAGTGGGCAGTGGTTTTATCTTTGACCAAGCTTTGGAATACTCAATCAGGATGACTCCATCTTTGTAGGCCAGAATTTTGAATAGGCTGGGTTTTTTTAACTGCCTTATCACGTTTATAGTAAAGTGGAATAGTCTGGCTAAGAACGATGAGAGTACCATCTTTATGATTGGTAACAACTTCATATCTTCTTAGGAAATCAGTCCTAATTAGGATATCATAGTTTGTATCTGGCAAAACTATGGCAGGTACTGTTACTACAATGGATCCAAATCTTAGTGGTAGGATACTGTAGCCGCCCAGCGATTTGGTTGTATGCGCTCCAGTGGTTCCATATTCCTGACAGTGGACAACATCGGGTGAAATTTTCAGTTTTTTAACAAACTTTGTTCTAACTATATTGATAGGAGCGCCACTATTGACAATGGCTCATTTGCACCTTGTTCACTGCTATGTCCACATAAGTACATTCATAGTAGTTTTCAGAGGTATTTATTGTGTGAGTGCTGTGACTGTTGCCCAACTCCAGGTGTAATTTCAGGCTTGAGCAAATATCTATGAAGTCATCTGCTAATTTATTCATGGGAATAGCTACTTGAAAGTTGTTAAGCTTAGGTAGATTGGTTGAACATCTGGGTTTTATGTCCAAATTCTGATCTATAATTTGCTTTGCGTAAGGTTTTAATACCTCTGCTCAAGCTTCTTTGGTTATTTTCAAGGGTTTAGTTGCTTTTGCAGTGGCCCTAGTAGTGACCATCATGACATTATTAGGCCCATCATGGTTGAGGTTATTTTCAGCAACATCTTCGGCCCTAAAGAGCTTTTTTAGAGTCAGGTGAAATAGTTTGAAAATTGGTGTAGTTAGAGCATTCCGCCTCTACTCCACCTGCTCTTTTCCCACCTCACTGTCACTGTTAATTTCTAGAGCAAAGTTGACCCCAGCCTTTTTGTTAGACTGTCTGTAGCATTGGCTACCAAAGTGCCCTATTTGACCACATTTGTAGCATGCATTCGCCCTGTTTGCTTTTTTTGCTTTAATTTTTGGTTCACATTTTAGAAATATTTCCCCTGATCGGACATAGTGTTGTTTTTTGGGCCCAAAAATTGGGATTTTTGCTGATCTTTGGCCTAATTAGTTGTGTTAAAATTATGTGAACGTCTTCTCAAGTAATTGGTAAGCTCTTGGATTTCCAAGCTTCCATTGAATGCAGGAAACATAACATTGTGCAGTTCATGGAAGGGCATAATTGCGTGCTCCAATGAAATCTTGGTGTCAAACTTATCTATTGCATTGCACCCACGCAGAACTTGTGCCTCATGGAAGAATATATCCGCAAAGTCCTTAATAGTCTCATTCTGTTTTAATTCAATATTAAGAAGCTCTCTTTTTTGGGTTTATAGTTTCTCAGGCCCTCCAAACTGTTTTGTTACTGCAAGTTTGGCATCCATATAGGACCAATCGTCACCCAAATAGGGCATAACAAGGTCACAGCTATGGGCATCGAGTGATTAATCCTTGCCAATCCTTTTGCATAGTCTGATGCACCTCTCATTGCTTTTTCAAATAACTTGAGGAAAGAGTGAACGTTTCCACCCTTATCAAACTTTGTTAAATTCAATGGTTGAAGTCATCTCTCCCTGTTTCTGGCACAGGGATTGTACTTATTCTTGAACGTCTTGGTATTTCATCTCTCATAATTGGCCCTCTTTCCCATTGGGAAGTATCTGGAGTTGGGATTGATGAAAATACTCTAGGCATAGAATGGATGTTTGAAATATCAGTTCTACATTGGTGTCAATTTCCGATAATTTGGTTTCATGATATTGCTCTGAACTACAGGATTCTGATGCGTGAATTCAGCCCTTAGTTTTTTCAAGCTGTTATTTGGCCAAATGAACGGAGCTTTTTCCTCTTATATTTTTGTCAAAGCTGGGTGAGCATTGGCTGC